CCGTGAGACAACTTAGGTTCTTGCATATACCTGCTAAGAACGCCGACACTAAAGGATAAATCTGGACGTGTATGTAGTAAGTATCTAAGACAACCAATAGTGCGACGATACTCTCTCGCGTCAATCCTGTCTTCATGTGATGCCTTCAAGTGGTACATGCGTTGAGTTACACGAGCTCATCTTAGCTTCTTCAAGTATTCTCCTGGCGTACCTATCTTGTTTAAGTATGATCCCATCTTTGCTCTGCAACACTTCAATTCCCAAGTAATATGTTAGCAAACCAAGGTCACTCATCTCAAATTTCATAGCCATCTCTTGTTTAAACTCCAGTATACTCCTTACAGATGATCCAGTAATCAATAAGTCGTCCACATACACAACCACTATAAGAAGTTCTTCTTTACCTTCCTTTCGATATAGAGAGGGTTCCTTCGAACAACGCCTGAAGTTTAGGCCTTTAAGAATCAGATTCAACTTTATATTCCAAGCTCTAGGCGCTTGTTGTAGACCGTAGAGAGCTTTTCTCAGTTTATATACTTTGTGATCTTGCCTAGCCACGATGAAACCTTCAGGCTGAGTAACAAACACATCTTCTTTAAGTTCTCCGTGAAGGAATGCTGTCTTAACGTCAAGATGGTGTATCTCCCAACCATGTGTCGCAGCCAATGCAATGATTAGTCGTATTGTTTCAATCCGAGCCACCGGATCAAACACCTCATCGTAATCCACACCATGTTTCTGTACATACCCTTTAGCTACTAGATGCGCTTTATATTTGTTGATAGTTCAATCAGCGTTACGCTTGATCTTGAATACCCATTTCAAACCAATTAGTTTTACTCCTGGAGGTAACTCAACAAGATCCCATGTGTTGTTCTTCTCTATAGAAGAGATCTCATCTCTACATGCATCTAACCAAACTTCCATCTCTTTAGCTTCGTTAAAATCCCACGGTTCATCATTGATCATAATTAATAGCTGTTCACTTTCCTCTTCTGCAAGTAGGATATAATCATCCAAGTAGGAGGGTTTAGATCTTACTCTGGTTGAACGTCTAGTTTGAGGCTGAGAGTCTTCATTCTCACTGTCGCTATCTTCTTTTTCAAACGGTTCTTGCAGGTTCTCATCACTGTGTTCATTACCCCTAAGTGGGGTTTCTCCACTTCCAGAGCCTTGAGTCAAAGCTCTTTGATTAACCACAAATTCACGTGATTCACCTTGGTCTATCATCTCTGTCCAATGCCACTCCTTGCTTTCCTCAAACACAACGTCACGGCTGACAACAATACGCCTTGTCTTTGGATCAAAGAGGCGATAAGCCTTTGATCCTGGTTATGTTCCCAAGTGGATCTATCATCAAGCTTCTTTCGACCTGCCGTCTCTGTTCTAGCATGACAAACACAACCAAAGACCCTTAAGTGTGAAAAGATTTGGCTTACGAACCTTCAAAGCCTCATACGGGGTCTCCCCATCTAAGAATCTCGTTGCAACTCTATTGATCAAAAAAGTAGCATGTCTTATTGCTTCGCCCCAGAACTGATTTGGTAGATTCATATGTTTCAAGATACTTCTTGTCATCTCAGGTAAATTTTGGTTTCGTCGTTCCACAATTCCGTTTTGTTGAGGAGAATAGGGTGCAGTCAAGTGGCGACTAATGCCGTGTTTTTCACAATACAACTGAAATTCTTGAGATACGAACTCACCTCTTTTATCTGTTCGTAAGGTTTTTAGCTCTGCTCTAGTTTCTTGCTCTACACGTATCTTGAAAGTTTTGAAATTTTCAAGCGCTTCACTCTTCTCTTTGATCAATATTGTCCACATATAACGTGAGTAGTCATCAACAAGGACGGATATGTACCTTTTGTGGGCTGGTGTTGCCGGAGAGATAGGACCACAAAGGTCTGCGTGTATTAGTTCCAAGGGTTTTCATGCTTGAAAAGTAGTGGCTTGAGGGAAGGAGACATGACACACATGCTTCAGTGTTGTTCTCAACTTTAGGATACCCATAACCAGCTTTTGCTTGACCATTGTTTTTATTTTTTCATTGTTGATATGACCTAACCGTGCGTGCCACAGGGAGTTGTTGTCATGTGATGTTGCTAGTAAACATTCTGCAATAAGTACTTGTAGTGTCACCTTGTATAGTCGGTTCCTTGATTTCGTTGTCTCAATCATCAGGTTTCCATATTTGTCAACTAGCTTTAGCATACTACCCTTCATCTTAACCTCACAACCAATTTCCGTGGCTTGTCCTAAGGAGACTATGTTGCTTTGCAGTGCCGGTATGTAGTATACATCTCTTAAAACTTTCTTTCCTTCACCTATGATGAATCGGATTGCACCTTTTTCCAAATATGTCAATCTGCGAGTCGTCTCCAAAACGTACCTTTCCTGTAATGGTTTCATCAAGCTCACAAAAAAACTTTTGATTTCCACTCATTTGATTGCTAGCGCCGTTGTCTAGATACCACACATTTCTTGCATCTGTCTCAACATCAAATACCTTCGGATTCACATTCTTTTCATTCAAATATATGACTTCATTCACCATTAACGCATCAGCTTCTCGTGTATCATCATCTTTTCTTTCATTAGGCTCGACAGTCTCTTGAAGTTTCAACATCTAATCTGGACAATTTGTAGCGTAGTGTCCAGTTTTGTCACAGTTGAAGCAAGTGATGTGTGAGGCATCTCCCACGACTTTTCCTTGTTTCTACACTTCTCTTTGTGCTTGAAAACTTCCATAGCGGCCACGGCCTCTACCTCTCCAGCTTGTTCTTCCATTACCGCGTCCTCTTCCTTTGTTGTTATAACTATTGCCATAATTCTCTTGGTTAGAATTCGTATTAGCATACGTCAACTTTCCAGATTTTTCACTTGCGTCATCTTCATCCTCTGCAATTCTTTCTTCAAAGGCTTTTATTCTTCCCACAACATCATCGAATTTTATTGTATTAAGATCAAGCGTCTGTTTAAGAGATGCAACCATGTGAAAAAACTTTCTCCTTGGCAGACTCTTTAATTTTTTTTTCACTATCTTCGGTTCTTCAATCACTTGTCCAAGAGAAGCAGATTTAGAAGCAAGTTCGGATAGCTTGTTGCTGAAGGCATTGACGATGTCTCCATCCTTCATCTTAAGCTTATCAAATTCTATCATTAGGATTTGCAACCTGGCTTCTTTTACCCTATCAGCTCCAACATGTATTGTCTTTATTGCATCCAAGATTTCTTTAGCTGAGTTTAAATCGCCGACTTGCATTATTAGGGCTTCCGGTATGGACTGGAACAAAAGTTCTGTATTGTTTTTCTTCACATCTTCGTTTCCTGGATCTATCGTTTCCCATACTTCGCTGACCTTAAGAACTACCTTCATTCTGATAGCCCAGACGGTGTAGTTTTTATCGGTTAACATAGAATATTTGATGGTAGCCGGTCTTGCATCTTTGTGTAACACAATTTCTTTCTTCGTTTCATCCATCGTTAAGCTCCAAGATTTCTTTCAACCCTGATGCTCTGATACCAAATATAGATTCACAAATTCAAGAGAAGTCCTTCTTATTAGTCACCAAACTTCAAATCACAAATCTCAAAAGCTCACACAAAACTTAAACACCACATATCCTATTTATAGGACAAAGCAAATCCAAATCCTAATCCCTTATATATTAATCCTGAAGCATTCATAAATGCACAACCTTGGAGAGCATGCTTACGTGTCAAGCTCACAGAGCTTCTCAGCTTTAATTTTTTAATGGACCAACTTTGCTAGGAATGAAATAATGTAACATTTAATTTCTTGCATTTAGGACTATAATATATAGACATTTTTTAAGGGACCAACTCTGCTAGGTATAAAAAAATATTTTATTTCCTTAAATAAAAGCTACGGAATTACCTAATATGATTAACATATATATGTAATTAATGATTATGAATAATACATGTTTTTGTATCCTCTCTCTTTTTTGTTTAATTTTAAATTATTAAAATAAATTAAACAATCACATTTAAATATATAATAAAAATTAAATTTTTTCTTATAGATTATATTTTTAATTTTTTTTAAAACAACCATAAATAACTAAAAATAGTAAAATCCCACATTGAAAATTTTATGATCAATGGTTTAACTTTGTTTTTTTCCAAAGAAAATACAAATTATCATAAATCGTACGAATATGAAGTATCATTAGTAGATATTCATACTATAAATATGTTAATTTAAAAATTTAAATGAAAAGGTTTGAGGTTAGTAGATACAAATTATAGTATTCAAAAGATTTTTGTAGTTTTTTTTTATTTGCTTCTTTTTTAAATATCTTTTAGTTTGTTTTGATAATTTAACTAATTTTAAATTAGATTTATTAATAGTTTAAATATTTTTATTTTTTTGTCAACTTTTAAAGTTTAATAAGTATTTTTGGGGATGATTTCAGATATTGGTTACAATCCAATCCAAACTGAATTGAGAAGATCAAATCGAATCCAATCCGATAATTAGTAAAATTCAAACTGGATTTATGAGAATAATACCAAAATCTGAAAATACGTGTCAATCAAACTAAAACTGACGAAGTCTCAAACGTCCAGACCTATGATGATTTAAGATACCAACATTTGTATTCATCATTTTATAATCGATAAATACGATAGTATTGCAAAATGTTAAAAACCATTTAATGAATAAATATTAGTATAAAAATTTCACCCCGCGCATGCGCGCGGGTTATCATCTAGTCCTATTAGTAAAGATAAACACAACTTCAAAAATAAAAGGAAACTTGAGATTCAAGCTTATCCAACAGTTGCATCACGGTACCAACCGTCATATTCGGTTTGGTTTAAAACCAAATATTCAAGATCAGGGCTGTTTCGTAAGAGACTTGCAATTGAATATTGGCCCGAGAAGTTAACCGAGAAGAGGTGTAGACTTTTGAGCGATGGCAAACGAAAATTAAAAGGAACAACTTTGATAGTTAAGTCACGCAGTATCAATGATTTTAGGGTTTCGCATTTACTAAGCAACGCTGGAGTTTTAGGGTTCCACCGAACAAGTCGAATCTCAGCTTTCTCACAAATTTATAAACAGGCAGCGGTTTGAACCCAGAAGTTGATGGATGAAGCCGAATGGTTCCGGATAAGCTTGAGACGCATTGTCCTAGAGTTGGAGCGCCATTAGAAAACAAAGATCCGTAATAAAAACTCATGAAACTCTTCTCATCATCGTATTCAACCGTGACTTCCGGCACAAGTTTCCAAGGATCCTGGCACCATTTTGATAAGAGACGTGTTGCAACGGTGTCTTTATACAGTGGAATTATTGAGAGTATCTTCATGATTAATTCATCTGGTAACTCATTGATCCTATGTATCACCGTGGTTTTGTTTATCCTGGCGAGTTTCGCTGCTCTCTCCATCTCTTAGAAGAAAACAAACCCTAGTTTTATTTATGACTTATGTGAGGTCTAGTCTTTTCGGCTTTGATCAGAAAGCTCTGAATGTTTTGTTGATGATGATTTACGCTATATAAGGTTGAAATTCTTGATTTCCTTTTTCTTAAAAGGCTTTTTTGTTTTTCACTTTTAAGATCTCTTTATTTTTTCTGCCGACTTTCTTTCTTTGCAACCGGAGTCATCTTCATCGAAGGAGAAAGTGTCAAAGCTGTACAAGATAAAGCATCAGATCACTGCGTTATTTGATGGAGATGAACCACAAGGAGACAGATCTAACATAGAAAGTTCAAAAAGGATTGCTCACTAAAGCAGAGACACAGCTAAATACGAAGTGTGATTTAGCTCTTGTTTCCCTCAATTAGCAACATATTTTCTGTAACTCTTTTGTTTTCCCTTTGAATTAATTTTCACGGTCCAAGCTTTGAATGTAATTCTCATATTCCTATATGAATGATTCTACTCTCAGAAGAATAAAGATTCACAAACTGTTTTCTCAGATTTTGTCCAGAGCCTTTCCCTGAATACCAAATATATAGTCACTACTGTTTTGGGAGTTACCAACAAAAATTCTGAACTACCTATCTAGTTTCTAGTCTCTGATCCAAAAAGCATACGCATTTTGATATGACTAAAGCTTGCGTCCATCAAGAATTTTCATTTATATAATCTGCTTCGACCATCTGGTCCTATCTTCCGCGTTTTGGCGTCTGAACGAGGTCTAAGCTGCAGTGGAAAGCGACCATTCAGTTCTAGAAGACCGAAAACATCGAGTATAGAAAGCTGTGATCAGGGAAGATAAAGGAGGTAAAGACAACAAACCATGTTGATGTACTTGAGTTGTTTCAGGATCTCATCTGTTTCTAGTTCCTGAGGAGAAGAACAGAAGATGCATTTGTATTAACTTTTAATGTATTCGTTAGTATGTAGAAAATCTGTCAGTGACATATTTTCATTGGAGAAAGATCAAGCCAGACTCTACATGAATGTCACTGTCAGAGCTACTAACTTTCCACCCTCGAAAGGATTATTCTTTTTGAGAAAAAGAAGATATAAAAGTACTTGGTAAGAGAGTTTCTGACCTGAGGGACGGCACAATCAGCATGCGATGGATCCCAAGAGACGCAGCAGAAGCATTCCCAGTCGTTGGTCTGTACCTCTGAGCGAGGAGCCCTGTGTATATCCAGTTAAGCTAAGCATATTGAGTAACTCATTTTACACCAAGGTGAATAGTTACAGATATGAGTCAAGGAGAGAAATATTGGTAAGAAGCTTGATGAAAAGGTGACAGCATTAGCCAAGAAATAGAATGTTACCTACGCCACTTTCCACAAATATCTCCATTCCTATCCTCCTCTCTGCATTGGAGCCAATTTACTGCAGAACCTGGTTTCTTACCGTTCTTGAGATCCTGCAAAGAAATAAAGATGACAACTTAACTCTATGGCAATGTAAAAAACACATTACTATATACTAATTGGGAGCTTACATGCATATATTTTGAGTGATCAATCTCCAGGGGTTCACCAACAAAAGAAGTACTATCACTGCATTGGGATCAAAATATATTTGTATTTCAACCAGATCAAAATAAAGGTCACTCATTTTTGGTGAAAGGGCATCTTTTATTTCACAATAGGACATCTAGTGATTGTTGAAGTTAAATACCTCATGGTTGGACCGGACCAGTCTGGAACATCCGCTTGAAACTCCTTTCCTACTCGAATTCCTATTACAAATGGTTCTGAAACTCTCCATTTCCGTTCCCGTGATCTCCCTTTAAAATTTGTCTTTGATGGCTTCTTTTCCAAACAAGATCGACAAAACCAGTCATCAATCTGTGCAACTTCTTTCATTCGAACACCGCAACACCTTGTATGATATGCTTCCTCACATTCATCACAAATTAACATCTTGTCCACATTTCCTGCCTTATCACATCGTTTACACTGTTTGAAAGGGCTGCTACTGTCTGTATCTGAGCCAGAATCTGCAGCTTCACTTTCTCCAGTTTTACTGGGACCTGAAGCAAGTTCAGAACTGGATTGTGACGAGCATCTGTCATTTGTTCCTTCAGAAGAAGATGTCACTTCGGTAGCTTGAGTATTGTCTACACTAGGCTTCTTCCGCTTATACACTAGAAAGCCATAAACCGGAGCACCATTATATTTCCCTCTCTGCTGCCTCCGGCTATACACAAGTAAGCCATTAGATTTCACTAACTGCTTGCTTTGGCTGCAAACAGGTCGATGACTGCTATTGCTGATTTCTCCAGGGTTAGCTCCAGTGAAACCCCCACCAGCTTTAACTATATGCTCCACTTGGATATATTCAGAAGAGTCAGCTTGATCACAGCCTATCTTGGTTCCTCTAGAGACATGTTCGCTAAAGCTACAACCATTAGATGTTACTCCACCTTCCTTTCTGCTGGTATACACGAGACATTCATCTAATCGAGTTCTTCTTCTCTTGGCTTCTCCACAGTCGTGCCCAGAGACAAAAGCATCATCAATCCCATCAGCCCTTAACGTAGTTTCTCCAGTAACATAACTGATTTTGCCCCTCTTCTTTCGGCTATAAACAAGACAGTTGTTGAACCGATGTTTCCCTTTTATGCTTTCTTCATGGTTATAAACCGGGACGACAGACCCATCAAGTGAAACCTCCTGTTTATTGCATTTTCCTGGGCTATTATCCTCAGTACCTCCAGGTCTCATGCTCCACTTCCTTCGACTATACACAAGTGAAGTCAGAGCCTTTTCCGATACGTTATGCATACCAGTTTGCTCTGGACAACTTAGTTCCGATACCTTATGAATAACAGTTTTCTCTGGACAACTTAGTTCATCGAGATTCACTGCATCAGGGACTGGAACAGCTTCAAGAAAGCTTACTTGAGACTGATCTGGAAGTTTGTGGATCATCTGATAAGTTTCAGTTAGCGACATCCAATTAAAAGCAGCAAATGGGTGTTGATACTCAGATGTGTTCAGAAGGCTAGTTTTAACGGAAGCGCTGAAGGAACTTTCCACCAACATGTTTGCCTGAGAAACCTAAAAAGTATCTGAAAGCACATCGCTTTTCCAAGTACCGGTGAGTCTGTTGGTCAACAACTTCTTCACGAAGTCCCTCCAAAAACTGATATCCTTCTGTTCTCCTAAATGTGGAAAAAAACATGGAACATAGTCAATATGCAAGAAAACAAAGTTCCATCATTACCATAACAGATACAATAAGTTATCTTGAGACACTCTCTCAAGAGCCCAAACTTCCCACATGTATTTCACATGAGAAACCCAGTTTGTCCCTCTAATGATGAAAGTGCAAACTTCCCACCCAGAAAAAAATGTTTAATCCAAAGGGTTGTTCTTGGATGCTTTTCATATCTAAAATCAAGCATCCAAGTTTAGAAAACCACAAAGTTTCTGATCTAACTTGACTCAAATCTGGAAACTCATGCCCTTCTAACAAAGCTACCACATGGATTATATGCACTTTTGATTAAAGGTAAGCAAAACTAAAACATCTGGTACATAAAACGATTATGCTCTTTGAAACCCTAAGAATGAAGGGAACACAAAACCACCGGAGACTAAAACACTTAAGATTCGATTCCAGTAATGCACAGACGTTCATATACCCTCAGAAAACATAAGTCGTCTGTAAAACACAAGTACAAAATATCAACAAGAGCGATACACAAACAAATTTCTTGCAGTAAAAACACAAAAGTAATCGCCTTTACCAGATACGCTTTATGAGATTCTTCGAGTTGTGGCCTTCTGCACTTATTATTATACCACACTCACGCAAGGTCTCTCCCTCTCTCTCTCTCCTTTCTCTAATCGCTATCTGTCCCTATCTCTCTGTGGCAAACAACTGTCTTTGATTTTTTTCTGTGAGACTTTTTTTTTTAATATAAAGCTTCAAAATCTGATTTATAGTCTCACCGCTCAGATTTTTTTTGCTTGTGTTAAAAGTGTCTTGTCTTTTAAATTTATTGCATTCTAATCCTGAATCAAAATATCACACAGTTCAGTTATTTATTTATTTAGAAACAAAGTTATAATGAATGGAATTACACACATAGTGTTGATTCAAACTACAAACTACATGTGTCCTTGGAGTTGTACTAATTCCAAGAGGATCAAACTACACTTGATCCTGCAACATAACAGCACATCTAAGAAGCTCAAATTTATTTGTAATGGGAATATACAACTATTGAATCCTAAACAAGAAGAAGACTTGCCTAAGCAATTCCTACACTCTCTGGCTGCTAAACCGTCAGGTCCAAACAAGGTTTCTCAACGCTTCATAGTCCTCCTCTTCTCATCTCTTTAAGCTCATTTCGTTGTTTAAGCTTGTCAAGGACCTATAACTCGACAATGACAAACATGTCACAGTTTCGTAATTGAAAAAAATAATGTGACTAATAATGACAATGGTCAGAAATCTCACAAGCAGTACTATATCATTACTTTTAACTTCTACTTCGAGTTCACAAGCTAGTATGTTACTGATATCTTTTAATCTGCGACCAAAGGGAGAAAAAGAGTCACTTGCCTGCTGGAAAAAGCAGTCACTTTTGCAAAATCTTGAATTTGATTACGCCCACAATTTTACCTTAGTGTACAGAGGTTGTTATGAGAAACCTTCTTACTTCTTATCTCAGATATTGTCGCACCATTTTCTGACCTGAGCTCTGAGTCCTGACTCTAAGCATATCATTATCGATAAGAACCAACACTGACAAACAAATGTTTATTAACATGAGACATTCTACTGTGGATGCTGGACACCTATACTCAATTGAAAACAGATGGTTTTCTCACATATACCATTTTTGGTTCAAAATCCAACTTTAATGAAAGCATGCCCCCTCATGGTTCGTTCTGCTGACAGCTGATGAAGCTGCTGGTTACATTATGCAAGCAGTCTTTGACAAAGCAATAAGATACCTTTTCTAACACAACTGTTTTTTTTGTAACATTATAACAGAACTAACTGTATATGAGATAAAAGATAGGAAGAAAATTTCAGAAAAACTGCACCTCGGTGAAGTCTGAAAAAGTCTTCATATTTCTATCTTCTGGTATTTCTCCATCCCTCTAAACTTCTCTTACACATAGTGGCGAGTGTGCTCATGTAAAAGACAGTTCTCTCCTAATGCCTCCTGCCAGACAAGTGAAATTATAAGATAAAACTGCTATACTAACACTGTTGGAATTATTTGTTTCCCCTGCATAGGGAAGAAAAGCAGCTCTTTCAAATCCAGTCAACTCAATGGAACCGTAAAATCACATGCTTATCCACTAAATTAGGAGCTTATATGCACTGCATTGAGATCCAAATATCTTTGTATGTCAACTAAACCAAACAAAGGCCACTCATTTTGCCATTTTGGTTAAATGAAAACGCCCATTAACCTAGTAGACATCTTTTTTACAACAGGACATCTGTTGATTGTTGTACCTGACAAATCTGGCACATCCGCTTGGAACTCTTTTCCTATTTGACTTCGTATTAAAAAAATGGTACTGTACATCTGTAGCTATCCATTTTTCCCTCCCGTCATCAATCTCTGTGCAGCAGTTTGTGTGATATGCTTCTTTAGTTTCATCACAAATTCGCAGCACCTGTTGGCCACTTCCTGGCTTATCACAATGTTTGCAATGGCTGAAAGGCTGCTACAACCGTCTGTATCCGTTTGTGACGCCTGGGCATCAGAGGAATCGCAATCTGAAAGAACCGGCACTAAAAAGGCATGAGAACTGACAATAGAAAGTTGATCCTCATTTTTCTTGGTCTCCTTTGGGTCTTCTTGTCTAAATAAGAAGTTACCTGCATATTCTTAATTCACAGTCAAAGAAAGCAAAACAATATCGTTTAATTATTAGCTTCAATTTCTAACAAAAAACTGTGATGTGGCTTGTAGTCATCTAACGAAGTAATCGGAGTATTGTTTGAATTGGTTAAAGCTCTAAACTGATTTCAGTTGAATGCATCATTTCTCTAACGAAAGCAGAGTTTTCCTGAAACAGTTTTCCTCTGTTGGTAATAATCAATCTTTCAACTAAGTTCCATGACAAGCAATAAACAGATAACAGAGGAAACAAAAAAAAACAGGGGAAAACGCTGGTATTGACTTTAGAAGATTACTTTTATTGGTTAACATTACTAGGAGCATCTCTGGCATAGAAAATGGAAGAAGCTTCCACCAAGCTTAATATATAAAATAGTAAACAAAGGGATTAAAGATGGGCAGACATCAGATAACCCCGATGGAAGGTTTGCAACTGTACACATACAACCTCATCAGTCTCGGAAGCCATCTGTTTTTCCAAGCTGTACATGCAAACCACGCATCAGGAATGGACTTCACTGTGAGCTGAAACATGTTAAAATCACTCTTCATCGTCTCCATGTTTAATTGAGTAAAACGGATCAGGAAAATGCGCTAGCTTGACTTCCAGCATCTCATTCCCCGGAATGTTCAACTCCATGCTACCTTCTACCTCTTCTGTATCTTCTTCCATTTCATTTGAAAGGAAAAAAAAAACAATGCAACACCATAAATATCAGGAAACAGCGAAAACATAAAACAGATAAACAAGTAGAGACACATAAATCTTTAGAAAACGAGACATACAACATAAACAAAACAACCTTCACATTACACTATTATATGTTCATTTAATTAAACAAGACTTCTACAAGACAAAACATAACCCCCCTAAAGGTGCAAACTTTTTCTCGGAAGTTGGTTCCATTTAGTCAAAAGGAACCATTTTTAACAGGTAAACCCAAAAAACAAGTGAGACCCATTATCTACCTTGAGGAATGAAGAAAGAGGAGCAAGGCCCACCACAAGGAGACAACAAAGAGCGATACTCCTCCTCCCTCAACGGATTCGTCACCTTATCCACCAAATTCGCGATCTTCACCGCCGTGTTCTGATGCGGCGGGACCCAGAAGGAGGAGCCCGGGTTGAAAGGGAGCCAATCGGGAGTCGAGTTCTGTACGACGATCCTCCGAACAAACTCGTTCAGCTTCTTGAGAACCGCGGCTTCCGCTTCGGCCTTACAAGTCGCTGATGAGGAGGAGGAATCGAGGTCGATCTCGATGCCATGCGGCTTTGAGGAATAGGGACGGCGGCTGTAACAGGCGAGGCTTGTCGCCGCCGGCTCCTTGAAGCGAGGGAGGAAGAATCTCCCGTGGGGAATTAGGGTTTTTGCAACAATCGGGACATTTTTAGAGAGAGAGAGGATGAGAATCAACTTCGAGATTTATAGAGAGAGAAAGTAGAGACAGGATGAAAGTCACGTGACTCACGTGTGTGTGCAACTGAAACGGGTACAAAAGATATTCGTGGGATCCGACCCGGGTATAGAATTATAAGAGAAAACTGTTTATTTTGGGCTTTAAATGGGCTTGACCGATTAGATCCGGTGACTGATATAACTCAAAATACAAGTTAGGAATAGTCTTCTTGGTAGATGCGATTTGATCCAATCCCCTAATAACATTGCTGTGTCAGTGTATGGGAACTATGTTTGTGGTGTATACATAGGTGCACGTGAATATGTAATACCCTCTTGTTTGTATTATTCACGTGCATATGGATTTTATAGTATCAAGTCATTTCATATGTCATGACATGCGATTGCAGTCCTTCTTAAGTTTTAACAATGAGTTGTTTGTTATTTTATTTTATAAGTCAAGAATCGAAAACTGATACGAAATCAGTTTTTCTAAATATAGGAATTTCTTGAATTACAAACAAAAAAATGTACTTCAACGTTAATTTCATTTTCAAGGATCTAAAAGCTTTTTTGTTAATCTTCTTATTTCAAGGATTCAAACTTCAAATCCTAATTGACGTGGTTAAATACAACGGCTGGTCGTGGATCAGTAATTTAAAACTTATTTTCTCTCCTGTTCGTTTATACAATGATGCAAAACTGAAGAGCTGGACGAGGACAAGTTAAAAACATGAAAAATAGTTTTTGGATTCGTGGCTTACGATTTGGAGACGGTAACTTAGATCTGTCATATTATATTAAAAAGTAAATCATCTTCATCTGAAACTGTTTAAAGAAAACCTACTTGTTCCTATAACAGTTTCAGATGATCAGATGATTTGTTGCTTAATTTAAAGTGATTTCATATTAATTTGTTCCTCTAAAGTGAAGTAACGAACTTGAGCTTTGCGTGTCTTCAACAACTGGTTTTACTACGCTATTTGGCTTCTTTGTTAGATCTATATATATATTGATTTTCTCTTTTAAAATATTACCTCATAGATTTTAGTGGTTACTTTTTAATTATGGGTAACCATTTATTCCTCAATATATATTGTTATTCATTCGTAAGTATTAGCATTTCAAATGGTTTTGAATGTGTTGTTGGTATATACGAAGTCAAAATCCTACGATTTAACATAGGTTATTGAAATCTCAATTTCTCAAAATATTTTGCTATTCATTCATAAGTATTAGCATTTCAAATGGTGTATATACGAAGTCAAAATACTATCATTTCATGCCATATTTAATTATATGAATTTCATTGACAAATTATAAGAATCGTCTTCTGATGTAATAAACTATAAGAATAGTCTTTTTTCAAAATTATATACAAATATCATGATTTGATGTTATATTTTTAAATGTAAATGCAAATTTTTAAGAACTTCTAAATTTTTCCTAAAGACATCGAAATTATCTTAAATTATTATAACATCCCAGATTTAGATGTCTCAGCTTAGATTTTAGTATAGATTAGATTGCCAAGACAATGAGTAATCTCCCTTTAGCTATATTACTGTAAATTTTACGATTTCATAATACCTTTTCGAATAAAGACACGTTTATGATTGAAGATGATTTCTTTTCTTGGGCAAGTAAACATCATTATTGAATTACATAACATTGGGCCATTGGCCCTCTAATGAGGAATTTAATATTGAACTTTTAACCTGTAATAAGGCTGTAACCAATTTAGGTCAACAATATATATATTTTTTTTTTCTCTTTTGGACCCCTTCAATGTCTCTCTCCTCAAACTTTTGTTCTTTATTTTCTGTCAACAATCTTTCAATTTAAGTTTGTTTAAGCAATCATTTTTTCAGGTAAAATTTTACTTAAAGAAACCTTTATAAATGAAAAAAGTGAAATAAATAAGTAATGCAACTAATTAGTACATGAAACATTGAATAGTGGATCATGAATTTCTGAAAATCAACCTGTTTATTTTACAAACAATAAAAGTTCTTTTGGTACAGATAATAAATTCACATAACAATTCACTGGATTAAACACAAAACATTGATTCCCCATATCTACTTTTTGAGGGGTAATATCGTCATTTAAGCAAAAGAACTGACAGCAATCTCGCGCGCGAATGGTCACTCTCCTTCCTCCCCACCTTCGGACAATCGTTAATTTTACGTAAATTGGATTTTTAGTTAAATCCACAAACATTTTTACTTATTACACACAAAACATTACAATTAAAATTAACAATTTAATATTAGTCTCCATCATCATCGCTTCGTTGTCTCCTTAAATAGCAGTTTTTCTTTTTTTAAAGTAAAGCAATATTTAAGAAAAAAAATTAAAACTTTTCTTCTCCATTTCTACCCCACCCAACACTCCATTCATCACTAAATCACAGTAACTCTTTTGTTCTTTTTTTTACTGAACTCTCGTGTGTCTCCTTTTGATCCTTTGCTAGATCTCTCTTCAACCAAGAAACCCAGAATCAAAACTTCTCTTTTAATCATCACTCCATTAAAGATCTGAATCAGTTTCTTCTGTGGGTTTGTTCTTTCCGCAAATGTAGTGAATAAAGTTTTAATCTTTCGTCTCAAAAAGCTACTTTTGTGTGTGGGTTTTGTTGGTTTGTTGCGTCTCGATTCGTCTCGTGAAGCAAATGTAAGTTCGTACACATTATTGCCTTTTTTGGATTTTACTCTGTTCAAGCTACAGTTTATAAGGATAAAGGTAGACACTTTATTTTCTATTTCGTCTGGGTTTTATTGATGTTTATACTTTGCTTGAATGGTTTGTGAAAGTGGGTTATTCTTACTTAGTCTTGATATTTTGATTTGCTAATTTTAATTTTTTACAGAAAATGTAGGCTTAATAAGAGGCTAAAGATTCTTTCTTCTTTTTCTTCCTCTTCTTTGTTTGTCTCATTAATTGAATAGCAATAGTTGTTAAAGTGTACTTACTGTTTTTTCGGTTTCTAGCTTTTTCTTCTATTATTATATAAATGGCATATGGTGGAGCTGAACTTTCTTTACTTTGATTATTGTGTTTAGGCAAATTTCTCTGGTAGGTTCTTTGTCTTCAAGCTGTAGTTTAGATTTGATGTTCTTTTCTTTGGCCCTTTGGGTTAGTTGTACTGCTCTTTATGTGTTTGGTTCTCTGATAAGTGAAACAGTGAGAAAGGTGAATATCTTCCCTTGTTTTTTTTGTTTGGTGGTTTTAACTACAATTTCTTTTCACTGGATTTTCAGTTTTGATGTTCTTGAGATGATTCTTGTCTCAGTTGTTTGATTATATTTGTGAAAGCTTGGTCCTTCTAGACTATCTCTCTGAGATGATTAATGACATTCTTTTTGATGATTGGAGTGAAGTGATAGTTTCCATTGATAATGTTATTGGTCACACGATGCTAATGCATTCATTTGATTTTGGTTCTGCAGTTGAATCTACAGCAAAATAAAGTCGGAGCTTCATTTCTGCGAATCAATATGGATACCTGGTTGATAAGCTTTGTCCTCTCGGCGCTTCTCGTTACTGTGACAGCAGATGTTTACATTGTGACTATGGAAGGAGATCCAATCATAAGTTACCAAGGTGGAGAAAATGGTTATGAAGCAACTGCTGTCGAATCTGATGAGAAGATTGATACATCAAGGTACTTAAATAGATGTTTATCTTCTTTCATTTGCAGTAGTACTAGCATCTGGATAATTAAAGAACTGTCTATGCATTGATTGCTCTGTTACTTTTACAGTGAATTGGTGACATCTTATGCTCGTCACTTAGAGAGGAAACACGATATGATCCTTGGAATGCTCTTTGAGGAAGGGTCATACAAAAAGCTTTACAGCTATAAACACCTTATAAATGGATTTGCAGTTCATGTTTCTCCTGAGCAGGTAAAAGAAATGAGATCATTTCTACCAATTTCTCTGTTGGTGTTCTCTTACACTATTCCACTATGTTTGGTAGGCAGAAACACTACGTCGCACGCCCGGTGTCAAATCTATAAACAAAGACTGGAAAGTGAGGAGACTCACCACACATACACCAGAGTTTCTGGGACTTCCAACGGATGTTTGGCCAACAGGTGGTGGTTTTGAAAGAGCAGGAGAAGATATTGTTATTGGTTTTGTTGACTCTGGGATTTATCCGCATCACCCCAGTTTTGCCTCTCACCATAGATTACCTTATGGCCCTCTTCACCATTACAAAGGGAAATGTGAAGAAGATCCTCATACCAAGAAGAGCTTCTGCAACAGGAAGATTGTTGGAGCCCAACATTTCGCTGAAGCTGCTAAAGCGGCTGGGGCATTTAACCCAAATATAGATTATGCATCGCCAATGGATGGTGATGGGCATGGAAGGTTCGTCTCTATGTTCTTATAGTCTCTAATATTGAACTTAGAAGCCTTTTCTAAGCAAATCTGATCCTTTCTTTCTTCTTATTGTATTGCTGGATTTTCAGTCACACAGCAGCTATTGCAGCTGGGAATAATGGTATTCCGTTGAGAATGCACGGTTATGAATTCGGAAGAGCAAGTGGAATGGCTCCACGTGCAAGGTAGATAGATAGTTAGTGCAAAGGGCAGTTTTAATGAAAGGTTGTTTTGTTCTCCTTCATAAGCTAAAAGGCTAATGTCTTTCAGGATTGCTGTTTACAAGGCTCTTTACCGGCTTTTTGGAGGCTTTGTGGCTGATGTTGTTGCTGCAATTGATCAGGTAAGATAAAGTACTAATCACAAGTTAGAAAGTTTTGATCACATGGTATCATGGAACATATCTCAGCTTAGTGAAATTCATTCAGCAACACAAGTCAAATAACCTTCTAATTCATAAACAATGCCTTAGTTGATATTAATAAAAGATTTTCATGAGCAGGCTGTTCATGATGGAGTAGATATCCTGAGTCTCTCTGTTGGCCCCAACAGTCCACCAACAACTACCAAGACAACGTTCTTGAATCCATTCGATGCTACACTTCTTGGAGCCGTGAAAGCTGGCGTGTTCGTTGCTCAAGCTGCTGGAAACGGAGGCCCATTTCCAAAAACTTTGGTTTCATATAGCCCTTGGATAACTACTGTCGCAGCTGCAATTGATGATCGCAGATACAAAAACCATCTTACCCTTGGAAATGGAAAAATGCTGGCTGGGATGGGATTATCACGTAAGAAAAAACAAAATGTTATGTTACATTTAGTGTATAACAAGTTTATGTTGTGATGAATTGTTTATGTGTTCTTCTGCAGCATCAACTCGGCCTCATCGGTTGTACACTCTGGTCTCTGCAAATGATGTTCTGCTGGATTCATCTGTGTCCAAGTATAATCCATCTGATTGCCAGAGACCTGAAGTCTTTAACAAGAAACTTGTGGAAGGAAAGATTCTTCTTTGTGGATACTCTTTCAACTTCGTTGTTGGTACAGCTTCCATCAAGAAAGTTGTAGCAACCGTGAAGCATCTAGGAGCTGCTGGTTTCGTTCTTGTTGTTGAAAATGTTTCTCCAGGAACAAAATTCGATCCTGTTCCTTCTGCTGTTCCAGGAATCTTGATTACAGATGTCTCTAAGTCAATGGTAATGAGAGCTTCATTGTTTTCACTTACTCTCAGGCTAGTTTTGTCAATCTGAAACTCTGTCTTTTTTTTTGTTTTGCATCTTTAGGATTTGATCGATTACTACAATGTCAGTACAACAAGAGACTGGACTGGTCGTGTAAAAAGCTTTAACGCTGAGGGAAGCATTGGAGATGGTTTAGCACCTGTTTTCCACAAATCAGCACCTCAAGTGGCATTGTTCTCAGCTAGAGGACCTAACACCAAAGATTTCAGCTTTCAAGATGCTGATCTTCTTAAACCGGATATTCTTGCACCCGGTTATCTAATATGGGCTGCTTGGTGTCCTAATGGAACAGACGAGCCTAATTATGTCGGTAAGTAGCATTCAAAGTACTGAAACTAACATGTGGAGGTTCTTTTGAAGTTTCTTACGTTTGGGGGTCTTGAGCAGGCGAAGGATTTGCGCTAATATCAGGAACCAGCATGGCTGCACCACACATAGCCGGGATAGCTGCACTGGTGAAGCAGAAGTATCCTCAATGGAGCCCAGCTGCTATCAAATCAGCTTTGATGACAACCTCAACAGTCTTAGATAGAGCAGGAAGGCTTCTCCAGGCACAGCAATACTCAGACACAGAAGCTGTAACGCTTGTTAAAGCAACTCCTTTTGATTACGGAAGTGGTCATGTCAATCCACATGCTGCTCTAGATCCTGGTCTTGTCTTTGATGCAGGTATTGTTTCTCTTTTTTTTCATCAGTGATGTACAAAGATCTTTGATCTCTTTGGTCAATAAGACTGATTGTTTTTGGCTTGTAGGTTATGAGGACTATCTAGGATTCTTGTGCACAACCCCGGGGATCGATTCCCACGAAATAAGAAATTACACAAACACACCCTGCAACTATGATATGAAACATCCTTCAAATTTCAATGCTGCATCTATAGCCATTTCTCACCTTGTGGGGACTCAAACCGTAACAAGGAGAGTGACGAATGTGGCAGAGGTAGAAGAAACATACACAATAACAGCTAGGATGCAACCTTCTATTGCCATTGAAGTGAACCCACCAGCCATGACTCTAAGACCTGGCGCTTCTAGAAGTTTCTCTGTTACACTGACCGTGAGATCAGTTTCTGGAGTGTACAGCTTCGGAGAGGTAAAACTAAAAGGTAGCCGTGGCCATAAAGTGAGGATTCCTGTGGTGGCTCTGGGACATCGGCACTGAACAAATGTTGTGTTGTAATATTTTTTGTAATATGCAGTAATAAGAATGTAGCTCTAGAGAATTCTGTCTGAGAAAAGGAGAATGCTTAATAGCAATTTGTATGATTAGTTTTTTATATAAATCTCCACCTTTTGGAGTTTCAGTGAGGTTTGATCAGATGCCAAACCTTTTAAATTGTATAAAACAGAAAGCAATCTGCTAATATTTGTATAAATAACAATGACATGTAGTGAAAAAACAGCTGAGTTAAAAATGTCCCAACGTCCCCATCCATATGAGATACACCAAGGACTACTAATGATTCCCAAGATTACAACGATTGTCTCTGCTCCTAAAAGGACTTTGCAGCGAGTTACATCTTCTAGGGATTCTGTTCTTCAAGTTTAAAACTTGGTTCCTCGGAATGTAATGGGAGGTTGGTCAAAGAATCCGAGTCAAGAGAATACCTCCTTGGCTCTGCATTTCATGGGTCAATCAAAACGCCTCGTTGAGGTCTATGCCATGCTTGTGTAGTTTGAAAAGAGGTCGATCAGTTTATGGAGGGTAGTTGCATGAAATTTCCTTCCAAAGAGATAGCAAGGTCTTTTGATTCCGTTCCACATGCATGGTGTCCATGTTACTTCACCCTGTGTTTGCAGACATAAAAAAAATAAAAAGGAGAATTATCATATCTCAATAAAGGTGGATTTGGAACTGGTGACAAGTGGAGATGAATTGGTTTTGAAGCGTGTACCGTTCCCTCACTTGTTACACGTGAAACTGCGTCGATGGACTGCAAATGGATCAAAAGGTATATTAATTGGTTATCCCCATGGAAGCAAGAAAGGGAATAGCCAAAGGAAGATTTTTAGCAGTTTAGTGACAATACCGTGAGGTTCTTCAGTAACTCGTGCGTGACATCGTTGGGCATGTATGTTCTTGGATGCCACTTTTTCTCAGACCAATCAACATATGTTACAGTCCAGTTAGCAATGCCACCAGGATCAAGCATCTGAGATTTTATCATACAAAGTATAATTACGGATAAAGACAATATGAGAAAGTGAAACCATTTCTTTAAGATATAGAGTCAAAAATGGATTCTCACATGGAAGAATGTTGGCAAGTAGTGTTCATCCGCTATGCAGTTCTTGTTCTTCTCTACGCCTGGCTGAATAAAAAAAAACAAGGACTTATCATCAATGTAGGGTCATTTTCATAGATCAAAAATAGCAATGCTGACGCTTCATTAAGGAGCATCATCTATTTTGAGGCTTAGGTCACTCACCCGACAGTAGTCCCGGAATTTTGAGTAGTAAACACTGTCTGCCACAGTTATTACAGCATGCTGACGCTTCATTGAGAACCACTGCACGTATATAGAGATAGAGTTCACTAAGCCATGAAAACTTGTTAAAATACTCTCTTTGTTGTCATTTGATCACTAGATAAGCGAAATAGTTTTTACCTGTGCACCCTTTCGAAAATCTTCCTTTGGAATTTCCGGCAACATGTGATCCATATGCCTGCCAGTTCCATGTGGACCAGGATCGTCAAAGCTGAAGAGTAAGAGAAAATCATTTATTATTATTACAACGAAGCTGGGAAGATATCTGGCACTATGATTCTCAGATCTCATCAACATGAAGAAATATGTTTACCAGTCAACATAGCTGACATTGCTTACCAGTCAACATAGCTGACATTGCTGTACATCATATAATTGTACATGTATTCAAAACTTCGAAGTGGCACACAACTGCAAAAACCAGGAAACAATCAAGCTGGTTAGGAATAATCAGTGAGAAGAGAAGTAAAGATTCTGGTAGATTACCTATCAGAGAGTAAAACAAATTGCTGATTTTCAGGATCTCTAAGAGCATTGGTCAACAAACGTCTCTCTGCGTCAATCATTGATATTCTACCCCACACCACCTTCAGGAAAAAAAGAACATATATAATTCTATTACCACAATCATGAAAGTTACTACAGAACCATGATACAACACCAACTACACGTAGTCACTAGACCTATAATGTTTCTTTTTATAACCAATTTGAGAGATGTCATGACATGATATCAGATACAGACCTCATCACTTCGAATTTCACGGTTAAGAAAGTAGCGACTGGTGTGAACCGGCGTATCCTTTGATGCATGTATATACACTGAGAATGTCCCCTCATGACCCTGTGAGGAGGTAACAAAAGTACAAAGAGTTCATTATACTTCCTATCTTCTTATCCAGAGAGATACAACTGATGAAGTGTACCTCGAAAAAGAGGTCCCATAGCTTTTCAAAAGGTAAAGTACCAGGTGTTAAGAACATAAAGGCAATCTTCGAAGTCTTTTTGATGACACGAGGGGAGCTCAACATTTCACTAATCACTACACGAGCTGCAATCTCGTCATCAGAAAACTCCCTCGGTGAGGGTGGAAGCCAATCAGTAAGCGCCTTGCATCCGTTAGATGAAAGCATATAACAAGCAGCTTTGCGGTGATGAGGGAACATGTAAGCACCAATTACAAACATTGTTATCAGAGAAACCCCTGCGATGATCCATACTCGTTTCTTTGAAGGAGTACGGTGACGAGCACCAGGCAAAGACTGCATATAACTTGTTCTGCCTAGAAGCCACCCTTTAATTGCCTTCATCTCATTAAAAAAAGAACCTTTATTGAATACTGCAACACCTCAATCTCAAATACGCTGTACTCCACAGCACATCTCTGGAGGTATAAACAAGCTTCTTCAGCTAGAACCAGTCAAAATCTAAAGGTACAAATAAGAAAAAAAAACATTTTGAACATCAGAAATCCATACAGACCAAACACGCAAGGGAACAGAAGAGAAACTGTCCAAGATGCAACTTTAAAAAAAAAAAACCAGATCAAGATCTAAAAATAAGATAAGTGTATCTAGTTTATCCTTCAAAGTTTCCCCAAGCTGGCCAGCATAAGAAACAGAAAGAATGATTCATAAATATGGATCAAATCATAAGTGAGAAACTCAACCAAGAATCTTGAAGACAAATAGTTTATCTATAAGTTATGTTCCTGTCCTGAAGAATAATAAATAAAAAAAACCAACGATTCACCTTTTTCTCTGATATAATAAGTACAAGAGGAGACTAATCCAACTAGAAAAAAATGGAAGAATCAAACATGGACAAGAATATACACTGACAAATTCAAATCAGTACCAAGAACAAAACACACGCATTACTTTCAGGACAATCATCTAAGACAATAGTTTCCACAGATGCTTGATCACAATTTTCACATCTGAAACCAAATCTAAACCTCTTTAAAAAGCTGATCCTAAATACTCAAACGAACACTAAAGCAGACAACTCAATTCACACATGAACGAAGATGGATACCTGGATCAAAACTACGAAAACGGCGTCGGATCAAACAGACCGCGAGCTTGTTTGTTTCTTCCCAAAGATCCCAACTTTAAGCAAAACGAACAACTGAGAGAGCTACACACAGTCGAATGAACGTATACAAATCTATTCACGCATCCTTCTAAGTAATTTCAATCTCTTTTCACGATTTTGTTTTTTCTTCTTCCGATATCTCTGTCTGTAGAATGAAGGTAAGAGTAGGTATGGACTCTGTACAGAGTAGAAGAAGACAACGACGATGAAGAAGTAAGAACTTTTTTTCTTTTTTTATCAAATAAGAGGTAAGAACTAAGAGCATCCGCAATGACGGATCTTGGGGGAATCCTTAGGAAAAAAGAAAAAAGGGTATTTCAGATTATATAAGGATCTTTCAGATTTTTTCTTTTAAAAAAATAAACTGACCACTCACGGACCGCCACGTGTGCAGTGGAGCCCATGAATAGTGTAAGTATCAATCCTTACATAAGGATTTTTAGGATAAAATCCGTAACTATTCATGGGACCCATTGATTATAAAATTAATATTTCTCTAAGGATTCTCCGTAAGGATCCGCCATTGCGGATGGTCTAAGAAGTCTCTTGACTCTGTGGTTCAAAAACATTAGCTTTGTTGTGAAATAAAAGGTTGTAACTTGTATATCTTATTCATCACGTGCACATACATATATATACATACAAGAGAATAAGCATATTCCTTAGGAGATAAGGATTACAACAATAAAGGGGATGATTATCCTAATCCTATAATGATTAGGATAACTACAACATATGGATAAACACAAGGGAGGATAGTGACTGATGCTTG